GAGAATGCTACAAACATCAGCAGAAGGGTGGGGAGGGAAGCTGTCAGTAAGCATATTCACAACTTCATCTTTTCTCCTCTTTTCCTAGTAGAAAGAGACAGGTTTCACAACTTGCTTACTGCATGCTGGCGTATTGCTTAACACCAGCTTTTAGGCTCTAATTCTTAAGTTTCATGATCTTCCTAAAATGGTAACTTTATTTCTGTGTGTTGTCCTGTCTGCTTTGTTTTCCAGTTACTCTGTCATTGCTGAATTAGTTGATGATAATTTTGAAGGTTCTCTTCGCAGACCACTCAGCTGGAAATCCTTGTCTGGGTTGAACAGAACAACTGTCAATGCTTCTAAGGTAAGTGTGAGTTTAAAAATAGCTAGTTTTAAAATAGCTTTAAAATGATAAATATACAGCTTAGTTCCAAAGAACAGGGAGTTGGAGTGAGACTGGAAAGAGAATCCTGTTTCTAGTCAGCTGAAGAACGTGTTGAGTTGCCAGTAGGCAAACAAGAGTTTCCTTTGTCAATATCCAGATGAGTTCTGGAAGAAGCTTACTAAAGTTCTGTCACCTGTAGGAATGTTAAAAGTTGCGTGAAGAATAGAAGAAAGACCCAAAGTACATTTCTTTTCTGTGTGCCACTTGTTTTTTTTTAAAGCCCTCTCCATCTACCATGATTTTCTTTTGGACAGTGAAACTGAAAGTTTCCAAAAGATTTTCTCTGTGATAGAGCCTCATACATAGTGCTTCCATACTCACAGTCATGCTGCTCAGGTGTTGTTATAGTTCTAGCTTATCTTGTAGCAGTATTATGCTTTGATAAGGAAAATGATATGCATATTATACAGCTCTCCCCAACTTGTTTTGCAGAAGACATCTTGTAGAAAACTTGGTATCTGCATTTCTAACTTACCAAAAACTTGTATAGAAAGAAGTCAGTTGAAATTCATGTATTCATGTTTTCTGTTTACCAACAGGAACTTATGTTATGCTATTTGATTAGACCGTCTGACATGACTGAGAGAGAGATGTTGACACCAGAATGTATGAAAAGAATTAAGGTTCAGGTGAGTAATTACTTCTCTCCTTTGCTTGTGTAGCTTTGCCTTGGGGCAGCTGGACAGCTAACTGTAAGAGCCTCCTTGAACTGTTGCTTGCTCTTTAGCGTGCTTTGTTTTTGCACGCATAGCTGCGATAAAATAACTAGATTTCTTTGTGCCCCAAGGCATGAGAAGTGCATTGCAGGCTCTTTAAAGACTGAAGATCTTCTGATCTAAATTTTAATGTTGCTGCTACTGTGAATGTAAGCGTTTGCATGGGAAAACGGGGATACCTGTGGACACTGTAAGTTAATGTATGTTTAAAAATTAAGGGAGAAAAATGTGTCAGAGACCAGCTCACTTCAGGAACAAATGTAGTAACCTACTAAAATTTCTCAGTGGTCACATAATGTACGTCAATTTGCTAAAGGCTTAATCCCCATCCCTCACTGATTATCTGTAGCTTCCCCCCCACCCCCCATAATAATTGCTGCTTTTTATTTCAGGAGCTGATTGTAACTCGTTGGGTTTCTTCCCGTGAACGCAGTGAGCAAGATGAACTTTGACTGACTGTATAGGAAAAACTCTTTTTCTTTTGTCTTTTTTTTTTTTTAAACCACTTCTTGCTGTTTTTTCCTGATCTTCTCATGATGAATCATTGCCTCAGAACAGTTTCTATTACCATATTCAGTTGGTATGTATAAATGCTATTTAAAATATGGTATATCCTCTTTACTGGAGAGAGAAAAACAACACTGAACTGTAATAATGCATATGAAGAGGAAAAAATTAAAGCTGTGTCCCAACTCAAAATACTTGTTTGTTTCCTTAAAACTTACAAACATGTATGTTTGAATGGTGGCTAGACTGCAGTGATTAGTAATGGTATTTTTAATATTATGACAGATCCAGGCATTCGTGCTGAATAGGCACTACAGCCTGCAAAACCACTGAAGTCCAAAACCTGAATGTCTTCCTGAAAGCCTAAGCAATGAGGGATCAAACAGTTTTCTGGGAATACCTCACATATTCTTCAGAGTTGAACTTGGGAATTGTAAGGCTAACTTTGTTTTGTGGCTCATCACGGGGTCATACATTTTTTCAGAAATGAGGACTTAAACTTGATAGTCCTCAAGTTTAATGCTGTTTTTTAACTAGTTAAACCAGCAGTAATTACAGTGAGCCAAATAAACTTTTGGGATACTTGCGGTACCATTCTTCTTCAACCAAAACCAAGTCAGGTTCATCATAGCCTTGATGAAGTTGCACAAACTTAGATTTGGGGAGAGGTTTGGCTGTTGCAAAATTGAGCATTGTAGCACGTTGCTATTAGGTGCCTAGACCCTGGAACTTGGTGGTTTATTTTCACAAGTGCTGCTCAGAATTGAGGAACTCTTCCCAGAATGTGCAAGGATTTAAATTAATTCTGGGGTCTAAGCACCCAGCAGCGAAGTTACGTGTTAGGTACCTTTCCCCATTTGGGTAAGATGTTTGTCTTCCCTTGGGATTTGCAGCATAAGATTCCTTCTTGAAAGTAAGAGCCTAATCTTGCCCCATGACAGCAAGAAGCCCTGACCACAAGCTGACGCCCTTTACTTTTCTTGAGGACGGGTTACTGTGCTGAAAATAATGAAGATTTGCTGAGCTAGTAAGAGGAAGTCAGTCTCTCTAGCTTGGCAAGTGTACGTCTCAGTTTCATCACTGCTTTTTTCTCCTTTATCCAGCAACTACAACAGTCTATACACTTTTTTTTCATAGTGCACTTGTAGCTCTCTTTGCCCTGGCCTATCATATGTTGTAAAAGAGACTGGGAGACACCACTGCATTTTGTGTAGAGTGAGGTATGGGAATGTGCTGAGCAGTTCTGCCTTGCTACACTAGGTGCCTGCTATTTTCTACCTTTTTTGTAAGATCTAATCATCTAGATTGCAGGTTGTTAAATATGATGTTTACTATTGTTAAGCCACATTTGGAAAACAAACCCACCCAGCAGGTATTCAGCTGTCTTTCAAGTAGAGCCAGGAAGTTTAAGTATCAACTACACTGCATTTTAAGTATTGCTGCTTTAGATTCAGGCATTTGAATTCCATCTTAGTCTGTGAACAGTAAGCTGCTTTGCTTCACCATGCTGTTAAGATCGCCCGCCCCGCCCTGCCGTGGTTGTGAGAGAACACATTTGGTGTAGCAGTAAAGGATGCATTATAGCTGGTGATCATGACACTGTTTGGGATTTTCTTTGTGCTGTTTTCATTCGCTATAAAAGGAGGTTTGCCTCCTGGTCGCAGGAAATTTTCCAGGGCTGGTAAAAATTCTGTCAACTCAGACTGCTCCCACCAAACACAAAACCACAATCTTATTTACTTAGGCAGTTTAGATTGTAAAGCCATGTCATGAATGCAGGAAACTGTACAACTCAAAGTGGAAGATCTGCTAGTCTTTGCTTTCATTTAATATGACTTCTACTGGAAAGATGTAAAATGAAAATGTTAATTGTATAATAGCTTTTTCAAGCTGAACAGGTAGGTACGTGTTGACTGTACGTGGCAAAGTGTTTTATGTCTAGCTGCAGATGACAGTGCTTCATGTTTCAGTACTGTTGTATCAAATAACTTACATTAGATGGTTGTACCATAGCACTGATACTTGCCATTGTACTTATATTTTGCCAATTAAAATACAGTACTTAAATGAAGTACGGACTCTGATTCACTCAGAAATAGCATACCATAACTACTTTTTGTAAGCCAAATCCTAGCTGAAGAATTCTGACTTCACTAGGAGCGGGTGGATAGGAGGTCTCTAGCAGCAGCCGAATTGCGCATTTCAAGCTGGTCATCTCTATTGTGTTGTGGTTTTTGAATATGCTTTTAAAGGAGCTATAATTTAGAATTCAGCAAGAAGTGGAAGAACATGGAGGGGGGGAAGTGTGTAAAGTGTGGTGTATGCAGCTAGAGAGTACTGGGGGGGCAGGGGTAATGCAGTTTGTGTATACAAAAGTATAAACTAGATGTGGGCAAAACCCTGATCATTTATGATTACTTCTCCATCTTTGAGAAAACAGGACTTAGATCTAGACTAAAACCAGCTTCTTTTGCAGAAATTAGTAGAAGGAAAAAAAGCTGAAATTATTTTCTTAAAGTAGAATGTAAGTAAATAAAGTGAAATTGCACAAAATTATGGACTGCACAATTTTGACCTCAGCATACACTTCTGTGTAATGTACAATAGGTAAAAGTGCTGTTGGAGGATCTTTTTAATTTTTTTTAAGTTAAATTTCTTTTTGTTAAGTTCTAAAGTTTTAACTCGGAGATAAATCCTGAGGGGTCTGTTGCTTGTTACAGATACTAACAGATACAGGCACTAAATCATTATCGTCTAATAGTAAGCATCTGCCTTGCTTTGAGGAATAAATGTGCAAAATGTAAAGAAAAATTGGAAAAGAACTATATCTGGCAAAGAGGCTGGATTTATTTGTTGTTATATTTATTAGTAATTAAAGGAAGATAACTTTGCATGTAGTAAATCTGCATTAAGTCATGGACTTTGGATTTCAGCAGCACGCAAGCACAAATTCCTTTTTTTCACTCATCAGTAAACAAATGTGACAGGAAAAAAACATTTGGGTTTGCTACAGCTTAAGTCACCACAGTTCATTTGTTAAAACCTTTAATTACACAGCAGTTACAATTTCTGGTATTAAGTGTCTCAGCAGAACAGAGCATATAGTGAATGTAAATAGGAAAACATTTTTCCATATGAATAGTTCCCACAGAAATTTTCTGTAGTGTGTACACTGTATGTACGTTATTTCATTCAAATGCACAAGTTTAGTTTCCCGATGCTTCCATGATGTGCAGGTTAATGTGTACAGTTAATTGTGGTTTTAAATACATTAAGTAGATCATGCATCTCAAACCATGAGATTTGGAGTCTTAAGACTGCAGATGTTTTAATACAGCGACTTGTCATTTTCAGCACTGTTTTTCTTGATCAGGAAGAAGGGGTACAATGTAGAAATCATTAGCTGTTAGCTCCTGATGCAGAGTAATGTATTTGGAAGCTTTCTTTGTCTGTGGGATCACAAATTTCTCTGTAAATTCACTTTTACTCATTTGCTGTTTTCCTTGTGCAGTCAGTACACTGTTAATGAATGCCAGTGCGTACGTGTAGCAGTTGTGGTCATGTTCGTCATACCTAGGAAAAACATCTCGTTAGTAAAAGTTAGCACTAATCCATTAATTACTGTGCATGGAGGAATATTTTACTGAGTGAAATAAAGCAGTGCACGCTCTCCAAGAACTATTGCCACTTTCCTTTAATGCTGGCACTTAAATATATTCTATTCATAGCAAGTTGTACTTTCCAGCCAGGGATACTAGAAACTGTGAGCATTTGAAAACAAACAAACAAACAAAAAAACCTGCAGACTTTACAATAATGAGTTTACTTTTTATACTTATTTGGCTTTTACTTTGTTAACCTTTGCTCTTCCATGTAGTGTGACTCTGTTATCTTGAAAACTTCTTCCTGCAGCAGTAATATTGTGTGCCACCATGTGCGCTTCTTCCAGTGTGGCATTAACTTGGAAGCTTACTTAAAATCAAGTAAATTCCATCACTAATATGTTGATACAGGTGCTATACGGTATGTGAGTCAAACTCCCGTTGGCAATAATTTGTGCCAATTGCACAAGGACAATAATACTAGCTGAATAGGAGGAGTAACCATTGAAAATGTTCTTGCCTTTTTTTCCTCCCCCCTACCCTACCCTAGGAGCATATGGCACTTACCTGTTCCTTTCACTGTCAAGAGTGTTTCTCAGATTCTCCCAAATGTTTCATGTTGGCCACTAACTTCAGTAATTTATTCCATTCCCTCACCACATAGTGCTGCTTTTTCCACTGGCCCTGTGTAACTGCATTTGATACAGACCTGCTCCCCTTGCTCTTCCTAGCCCTGTGACTCCTTCCTTGCCTTGTACCGTCAGTAGCTCCACGGTCTGTGTTGCCACAGGGAATCTTCTGCCAGGCTTGCCTGTCAGCCCTGGGAATTTACAAGGTGTTTTTGCAAGATCTGAGGACTATGGGTATCAAAGCAACCCTGTGACCCTGAGCCCAGGTCAGGACAGCTCACTGTTTTCTTCAAAGCTCTTCTGGTTTGTTAAGAGTATCTGAAGTGACCTACAAGCTGCCATTTAGTAAGCAAGTGATTTGCTACAGTGTACTTACCAAAATAACTGTTAAGGAAAAGTAATTATGAGTAACTTCAAAGAGTGGCCATCATCACTGTGCAGTACCAAACATCTGGAAGTTACACTGAAAAAAATGTTGGGTTCGCCAGCTCAGGGCTGAGTCTGCAGAGTGCCGCAGCATGTCTGGGTAACTTATGTGTACACAAGTGCTCTACTGAGTTAGTTCCACGATTTAGCAGAGCATGTAACTTTTCATTTTTGTTTTTATAATGCAAAAGCTTCTGTAATACACTTCTTATTACCATCTGTGTCTTCCAGTTAGCATCTCATTTTTGGGAAGCATGTCTTTATATCCTGACAAGCAAACCCAGTATCTCCCAGTAATTTAAGATATTCTCAGTCATGGCTGTGGCTGCTGTTCTTTGCTGCTGTTATATACCATCCTTCCAGTAAATGAAAAGCAATCAAGAAAATTAGAATCCAGCTTGGCCTGAACCCAAAGGAGTTACAGGATTAGTTTAGTGCAGTTCCTGTCCACTGAAAAAATAAACAGAGGAGTTAACTGAACTTTTTATAAGATGTTAAATTTTCAGCAGTTTAGCGGTCACGGGTCTGTGTGTGGAAAAAGTAGGTCACTTTGTCAGGAGGTGGCAAATGGAGGAAAACCAAAGAAAAGCTTGTAGAAGAGATGCACACATCTATCTACCTTCTACCAATGCTTTTTTTGACACCAAGTTAATTTTAGTAATAATGTTAAGGCACTGGGAACTGTAAAAATACTGGAGACACATCCTGTTGGCTTTACAAGTTCCATAGACATTGAAAAATTCTATTCTAGGTCAAATTCTTTCATCTCCTGGTACTAGGGAGATAATACATTATCTCTGAAATTTTATAGTCAAGCACATACAGAATTGCTAAAACCTGCTTTTGATTTGTTGGGTGTATTTTTTTTCTTTTATACAAGCCTACGTTCATTAACTTAAATGCCTCACAGAACTGTGCTCAGACAGGCTGTTTATTGAATGTACTGTTACTGATGAACAGTTCAAGGACTGGTGTTTTCTTGGAGAGCAGGCTGCTTTGTCATCAGCAGGCTTGGTGATGTGGCAATGCATGTTTTAGCTGGGCTGCGTAACTTTTAACACTGTCATCAGGCATTAACTTCAAGGAAAGCTACAAAGAACTGAACGTTCTTGTTGGAACATACTGGTTTAATTCAAAATTTGTGGAAGTCTTTTTGTATTCAACTATCCAAAGCAATGTTACGAACCAGCTGGAAGAGCTGGAAATGAGCCTGTTTCCCATTTCTGATCGTTGACAACAAAGAGGTCATCTGGATGTATAATCTGGGCAAGAATCCCATCTGTGTGGTCAGCCTGTAAATGCAAATACACCTAAAACTGTTGAAACCTAGGAGAAATAATTATAGAATTGCACCTGGGTTTTTCTACTTCTGTACTCAGCAGCATACTCTTAATTAAAGGTAATGTTTGATTGAACTGTTTTTTTCATGCAAGATTCTTTTGTTGCTGAAATCTTCCCAAAAATGATGTCTTATTGTAGAGTTTTTACATTCCAGCAGATGAGCTTGTTACTTATGACTTTAAAACACTCTTTTTCTGTTTAGCAAGGCTACTAAGTTTCAAGACAGCCTGACAGTGTTGTTTAGACTGGTTTGTTAGAAATGTGCGTTCTAAAGGAGCAAGGCTCTGAATGACCCACAAGCCTCACAGGATCCAAAATGGAATAGCCCAGTTTGTCATCCCAGACTAAAAACTCCTATTGCATCCAGGTTTTTAACTACATACCTGTGAGGAAGCCAGGCATCTCCCACAGAAAATTCCTCTAGGAGCTTATCCCACTGCTGAAGAAGCCCAAACATGTCTGGCTGTACTAGTGGGATACTAATGCACTGTTCCCAACCAGTTTCAGCTCTGTGAATGCCCTCTTCATTGTAATTATACACCACGCCTGAAAACAAAGAGCAACAGATTGTCAGGTGGCACTGGAGAATCAATCAGATCCATATCCTTTTTTTTGTTTTTAAGTGATGAAAGCTACTATTAGTTTTCTATACTGCCATTCTTTCTGAGACTAGCTATACCCTAGCTTCCCATCAGTGGCCTTCTGTGGCTGCAGAGTAGAAAATGCAGTGCTTATCAAAAACCTGTTCTTATTTTTACAATGTAATTTCAGATGCCTTTTGATAACGAAAGCAACTTAAGGACAACCAGTCTTCTTTTTTAAACCCACAAATTAAGACCGCTTTTATATTAAACATCTCAAGTGAGATTTTGCAGGGCGGGCCTACTCTGGAACCTGATGTGATTTTTTTAATGTGGGGACTTTTTAAATTTAATTTAATTAGGGGTATTTTTAGAATTAGCAAAAACTGTCTTTAAGTCAAAATTTCCTGAAACTTTTTAAAAGTGGGCCGCCTAGCTTCTTATTTCCCTCCATCAGGAACAGAAGTCACCTGTCAACTCCATTCTGTGCAGCTCCTCAGGCACGAGAGGAGAGGTGTATGGCTTTGATTTGAAGCTCTGTGTGCTCACTGCTGCAAGGCAAGATAAATTCTTGGACTCAAGATATTTTTTTTTTTTTTTTTTTTATCTTTACACAAGCCTCTTTTGTAGTGAACAGCTAAGCTCCGGTTCTGCTACCTGCAGCACGCTGAGGAAGTACGCATTCTTCAACAGCAAAGCATCGGATATTTGGATCATAGAATCATAGAATGCTTTGGGTTGGAAGGGACCTTGAGAGATGTTGCAGCCTGCATTTGTAACAGGTACCAGCTATCGCTGCAACAGCAGAGGTGGCTCTGAAATAACTGTCGGGCAATTCAGATCACGGTAGGCAGAGGGGGCAGACCTAAACTGGGCACACAGTCTAAATACCCTTGTATTTAGGGGGACGGGCACTAGTTTGTAAGGCAACTACAAAGTACTTTTTACCATTACTGTTGGTTATTCCAACATGAAGATCAGCCTTCCCGTCGTATCCTCTGAAAGAAAAACAGGGGTGTTGGCGATGGATGCGAGCATTGCTGGTTCCCGTCAGGAGCGCCCTGACACTGTCTCCTCCTGGGAACTCGGCACTTTTCATGCCGCCTGGACCCAAGCTGTGGATGGGGAGGCAAAGCACCACTGAAAACCCGGGGAAGGCATCTTCATTTCCCGAAGGGGCTCTGATCGGCATCCGCGCAGCGGCCGGGCAGGTGCCACCTCCCCGGCGCAGGGTTGGGTGAAGGCCCGCGGGCAGCGGTGC